ATACTGCACTTTTATGATTGTTCCTAGATCATATGGTAAAAACATTACATAGTATAATGGCCTGGTAGTTAAGACTCTTGACTCTCAATCTGAGGGTTGCAAGTTCAAATCCCATACGTGAATGAACATGCCAGACTTTTCAGTGATGGGGAACTATATAGTGTGATGGCCCAGCCCCACTAGTTTGTCTGACAGAAGTATCCAAAGAATTGTCAATGAGTGAGTGGTGTTAACTAGTTGTCTTCCCTCTGGTCTGTCACTTGAATTAGGTACGGCTACCATAGATCCTCTTAGCTTTGTGCAAAATCCACTATGTAGAATAGCATAACTAGTGCTGAATGATTTTAATAATAATATAATACAAGAAGGCTGTGTGTGTGGTGTGATACTTATTAGTGCTAAGTTTTATCATTTAATGGTGGAAGTGTTATTGTAACACATACTGAACATCACTATTTTAACAAACATTGGGAAATAAGCCACACTATTTACTAGAATATTGAAGTTTCAATGATTCAAATGGAACAAATTCCATTCCCCAGATCACCTCTCGACAGTGGGCACCGAAGTTCAGTGCACTCTATAGAGAGTCTGCCTTATGGAAAGAGTTCACCAACAACAACTAGAGCCAAGGATACTGGGTTTGTTACCAGTGAAGCAACCACTCCTCCTTCAAGTTATGATACGAGTCAACCTCAGCTTGAAGTATCGGAAAGATCCACTCAAGATCCAGATGCTCCACAGTCCCCAACAACTTCAGTTGCAGTAGGTTCAACTGAATTTTTGTTTTTTATATTGTAGTACTGTAAATTTTTAGTAATCCATACTTGTATGGGTGTGGTGTGCGTGTGTTTCCTGTTTGTATTAGATCTAATACAAGATTAATATAGGAAGATTTTAGGTAAAATTTTTCTGGTCATATAACAAAGTACATTTAATCAAAGCAAAATATTGTATTTTGGTTAAATTTGTTGCAACATATTTCTGTTCTTGGTGTGTGTGTGTGTGTGCATGTGTGTGTACATAAGTTATGGTAGTGAATGGTATATTAATGTTACCTCAATTATGTAGATATTAATTCAAACTAAACTTGCTAACTACCAATAAAACCCATCTTGCTAATTTGTATTATTGCATATTATATGATCTAGTAAAGATTGGGATCTGTTAAATTCCAATAGGTCTCGACAACAGCAGAGAAGCCCTCTACAGGGCAGGATACCATTGCCTTCTTATATTTTCAGCAATTTC